CCGTGGTTTGAGGTCCAGGTGGGCAAACGTAGAGGATAAACAAACAAAAAGGCAAAGCCTGCAGACTTGAAACGGTCAAGATCATGCTCGATCCCGATAACCAAGGGTGGATGCGACCCCGACAGCGGCATCTGAGGGAGTTTAATCAAGTCTTTTCATGCTCCAAAGCTAAACACAAATGACATACCAGCATTTATAGAAATCAAACGAAACTCATAATGAATCATCTTGTGCTCAACAGATTCATATTACCATATAAGTTTAACTGTGAGTTTCACATGTACCAGCCGTTAAATTTCCAGATTAATCAAGTGTAGAACTGAAAGACCAAATCAAGATTTGCGATCAAAATTCAAGACGAATGCTGTGTAAGGTCTTTAGCTTCTCCAGCTCCTCGTCACTTGCAATTCCAGGTTCGATAAAACACAACTGAAACAGAAACCATCAGTACCATCTTATCAAAAACAGAATGAGGAAAAATCAAGATTGACAATGCACTGAAACCTGATATTGGTCTTTCTTTAGTGTATGGACACCTCTTTTAATTAGCTTTTGCCATCCAACCTTGTCTTTAAGTGATTTTTCCAAAGCTCTTGTTTTCTGGAAAGAAAGTAATTAAATACTTCACAAAGTAAAATTGCCAGCACCCTCGAATTTGTAGCAAGTGATGTATAAACTTGCTAAATAAATTATATTTTCACAAACTGGAGCATTTGCATCAAGAAACAGAATTGCTAAAAAGATCTTATGAGGCTGCCTTGGAAACCCAAACAACCATAAGTAATGACATTCTATATTTGAATATGTTCTGGTTAGGAGCATTCCAAAATTTAGCACATAACCGTAGGAGTAGCTGTGGTTTCAACATATCAACTGCATAAAAAGGCGATTGCTAGAGTTATTTAACCTCGTGTATTTCAACCTTTGTTTAGAACTCTGACAACTGAAAAGCACAAAAATCATAGTGCAACTATAGCTAGGAACATATTTCACCGATAACATGTGCAAGAGTAATGAAATGAATATGATCCTAAATTATATAAAAGTGTCACATTAGCCAATTTATCACGCCTACTTCATCCAGAGACCTGGCCAACAGGAAAACTATCAAATCACAGAACATCAATTTGAAGCCCAGTAAAATGTAAGCAATCTTAACATTATATTCACGTGAACAGCTATTAGCCGATCATGGTATTCTGTGATAAACAGTATGAAAGCCAAACTTTCATAAGAATGCAATTGCATACTTACACTGGCAGGGTCCATGATTAATAAATTGTAGTGCTGCGTGCCATTTATCTGGTGCTGAACCTGGATGCCAATTATGGTTCTTGAATGGCCATC